GCGGCCCTGTAACAGCCTGCCTGCAGTGGGGTGTTCTTCTGGGGGTGTGTGGAGCTGGTTCTCTGAGCTCCTGTAGATCTTGGTGGTGTAGTCAATTGCCTGGATGCAGTGGGACCAGTTTCTCTGGTCAGCAGAATGAAGTTGCGCTATTTAACTTGGAGTAACCTTGTCTGACCCAGTACAGACCTGCAGACTGATACGGGTTGCCCGATGCTGGGATGGGCGTTGCACGACGTACTGGGGATGCTAGAAAGACCTTTGTCAAAGCTGTGGCGCGTGAGAGCTGCGCTTGCGCTCAGCTTTGGTCTTGTGCTCTTCTCTTAGGCGGGGGCGAGTTTCTGGCACCAGGAATGCGTTTCTCTACTCATCTCAACCATGGATTCAAGTCCTGGGGGTGCCATACTCTGTGCCTCGGTTTACCAGCATTTTCTCCGCCTAGATCTGGATAAAGCCCTTTAGCATTGCGGTACAGAAGGCGCTGGAAGGAATGGTTTTGTGTGGGGAGAGCACAGGGCTGGCTACAGTGTTGTTATAAAACTGCTGGTTTGGAAAGCAAGCGTCACGGGAATTGTTGGTATTCCTGAGTCCTCATCAGAGGTGCGGTTTTAGCTGTTTCCATCCATCTCGATGGCTCCGGGTTTAGCTCACCTACCCTTCACCTGCATTTTGAAACCCTTTGGGGAGATGCTGTCCTCCAAACGTGGCACGAGGGCATTCGATGCGCTCGCTCTAGGCACAACCCCTAATTGTGCAGGGACCCAACCTGTTTGTCAAAGGCATTTGGCAATGCCTGATCCAGAGAAATAGTGTGACGTCTGTTGTGAAAGAGCTGCTTGGCTCCGGTTACCATACTTGCTTGGGGTTTTTCCTTCCAAAGACTTTATTAATTACCTAGTTAGAGATTTGCTTCGTAGCAGGACGGAGACCTAGCTTTACTGGTTGACTGCCCTACTTAGGCCAAAGCACTGCTCTAGAAGTCGAATAAACACGCAGCTTTGAGCTGTCTTGAGCTTCTGTGAAGAATGGTGAAGGTTCTTCTGGTGTGAGAAGGTCGAACGGTGTTTTCTTCTGGTGGGGTGCACTGGGTCTCCTCATCTCTCCTAACAATGTTTTTCTTATTTCCAATAGGAAACACAGACTGACAAGAACTCAAAGTGCCTTTTCCCCGGTTGTGTTCAGCCCCCTCTTCACAGGTAAGGATTTGAAAGATTTACAGTATGGCGTTTCGTTTTGCTATGAAAAGAGCAGTGTGTGCTTAATGACAGACGCTGAATGTTGCCTCCACGTGCAAACTGGGATCTCTGTGAAGAGTCCATCTGTCCTGCTTGGCCTCAACCCCTGAGCAAGAGGAGCTGTAAAGAACGTGGCTGTTGCACGTCAGCGTTTTGCAATTCCTCCTGTTGAAACGCAAGTTTGAGTTGTGCTCTCGGAGGTGAAGGTCCTTCCTCCGTGCAGGGCTGTTTGCATCCAAGTGGTTTGGAAAATCCCCTGTAGAGCAAGTGCAGTTCGGTGCTCCCCTCCCGTGGTTTGCGAGGGGCGAAGACCAAGCCCCGCTTCCCACCTGGACTGCACACCAGTGTCAGCGACGCTGCTGCATGGCAGCTATGGGAATGGAAACCTCTTTTGTGGAGCACCACCACCTTCTTCTGCGTGTTTCCCCCCCTCTCCGCGTGTCCTGCTGGTTTCTGACCTTCCCTTTTCTGCTGGGGGGGGAAGTTGGCCGGTTTACAAATGGTGCGAGGGGGAAGTCCTGCTCCGCTGGTGGCTGAAAGCTGTAGTACTGAAAAGCTCCTAGTCATGGTCATGTGCCTCTTGTGGTGTGGGCTCGTCGTCAAAACAGTCCTAGCCACAGGGCTTGGGGCTTCCTTGGGAGAATCCTGCCTCGAGACTTGCGTGAGTAGGAATCTAAGGTCACAAGTGGGTATTTGTCAGCTGTGTGGGGTTTTACGTGGCGTGTTATGAAGGTCAGATTCAAAATAATTTCGTGTTGAGGGTCTTATTGCAGGGCAAAAGAATCAGAATAGGGTTGTGCAGTGGTAGCTGTGTTAGGAGAAGCCGGTGGGTAGAGCTGAAAGCCTCCTCTTGCTGCTGGTGTAGGTGTTTGATAGCAGGGAGGGGCTGGAGAGCTCGGTGCAGGAGCTGGCACGTGGTTTGTGTTCCTGAGTAGGGTGAAGCCCTCTTTGGAGAGCAGTGGTGAAGCCTTACTGAGAAACAGTTTAAATTTCAGAGAAGTGACCTTCAAGGCAGAGCGTTTGCTTGACTTGCCTGAAACTAGCAGCTGGAAGCTGCTGATCTGCTCCTGCGGTTTCTTGTAGCTCATTCAGCTCTTGCAGAAGTGGAGTCACCCGGGGGTAATTCAGCTGTGATGCTTCTTGTTCTCTTCTCCATTCCCACATCCCTCCAGCTGATGTCCTGATAGTGGAGCAGCATGCAGAGGACGTGCTCCTCATATGATGCGACTGGCTTCCTGCAAGCATCGTGTGCGTTTATTTAGCAAATCAAGGCTGGGGAAAGCAAAAGCTGCTTCTGCTGCTTCGTCAGCTGTTGCTAGGGGAAGTTGTGGGTATAAACTCTGTAATTCTGTGTGCTGGTGGTACGTGGCTGTGTGTGCAGAGCTGCTTTTCTTCAAAAGAAACTATGGCAGAGAACCTGGAGTTGACAAGTTTTTCCTTTAGATTTGGGAAATTGATTTGATTAATTGTTAGTTTTTCCTCGTAACTATTTTTAACATTACTTGTGTCAATTTTTGCCAGTTGGTGGGAATCCTGACAGTGCCCTCGTAGGAGCTTTTCCTTTGCAGAAGACTGTTGAAGCATCCCCACAGTGAATGTCTGGATTTTAGGGGCTTTGTTGTTGACTTCTCCAGTCTTACACAGCTGAGGACTTGGCTTCTTTAATGGCTGCTGTATAGAGGATTTTCTGAGACTGGGACCACCAAAGTGGGACAGAATTCAAATGTTTGGCCCAACTTGCATGGTTTTCTTGGTGATTTGCTTTCAGGGTAGTGTGTGAGGTGAGCGAAGGCCTTTGGGAAGGCTGTCCTTGCCTTTCCTGACCGCTCCTCGGGCACCTCGTGGAGGTGCTGGCTCCATAAGTGCACCGCAGCCTGCCGTCGCAGCTCCTGCTGCGTTGGGAAGGGTTTGAAAGCTGAGTTACTGCAGCCCCTCTTAGTCTGGTCGTCTTTTGGTTGTGTTTGTGTGGGACGAATGCAGCCCAACCTACACGGCCACTTTATTTTCAGGGTGTGGAAATGAAAGAGTGGCTGTGTGCATGCGTGTGTGCTCACACCCATAAGTCCCCCGGGGAGAAGGTACCTTGGATAACAACCAACCCTAAATACTCCTCTTAACATGGCTTATTAATAGACAGGACTTTTAAAAGCAGAAGGAAGCTGAGTCAATATTGTCCTGTGTAATGGGTGGTAAATGCATTGGCAGGTGCTTACCCAGAGGTGAGTGACGTTGTGTGCAGTATCTGGAGCAGGAGAGGACTTCCCTGCCCACAGGAATTGAAATCTAAGGCAACCAGATTTCATTGTCCTTGAGACCACGGTTCAGCTGTTCGGACTGATTTGGTTTATGTTGGTGGTTCATCAGGGCCTGGTTAGACTGATTTTTTTGGAAAAGAAATGCCTTGGCTGTGGTAACACCACTTAGGGTCTCTGGGATTTAGATGTTTTCCTTTTGACTCTGTATCAGGCCCATACTGAGGCTGATGCTTTGACCTTGATTTGATGGCTTCATTTCTCTCCCATGATTTTAGGCTGATTTTAAGCTTTTCTGGTTTTAAGTTAGACATCTTAGTTTGCGTCATTATTTTCTCCAAGCAGTGTCCTGGATCTAGAGCCTTTAGGCTTCAGTGAATTGCAGCTATTTAATATAAAAGTCTGTCCAGCTCCCTCTTATTAATTTTAAGAGCTGGTACCCTCATGGCCTTTGGGGTAAAAGGGATTTCTGTTTAATCATCTAAGGCATTGGTAGACAAACTCAGACTGGCATTAATAGGAGCGTTATCTTGGGGTCCTGTGCCAGCGGGTGCCACGTAGACCTGTGAAACCATTTCCCAAGACTAGATAAAGTGCCAGCACTGTGCACCATTGATGAGCTCTGCTTGATACACGAATTCGGTGCTGCAGAGGTCTCGCAGTGCTTTCCTCATCACGTCCTCCTGGTGCTGGACTCAGACGGGGTTCAGGCACGCGTACCAGTATCTGTCATTCCCTTCTGCCTGACCTTCGGGCTGCGGTAGCAGAACTGATCAATGTCTCAAAAGCGGTGCAGCAGGGAAACTTGATTTGAAAACAGCTAATGAGATCGTCCTCCAAACCCTGCAGAGGTTACTGCCCCTTCCCCTCTCCCTCTGCCTCCCTGCGCTTGGCCTCTGCGTGCCCGGAGAAGATGCAATACTAACAGTCTTGCTCCACCAACCTTCAGGTGAAACAGTGTCACTAGTGGACGTGGACATCTCTCAGCGAGGACTGACCTCCCCTCACCCTCCGACTCCACCACCTCCACCACGAAGAAGCCTCAGCCTTCTAGGTACCGTCCTGGAGAGCATCCTTTGCCGTGCATCCCTACGGGAGCATAGGAACTGCCCATCTGCCCTTGCAGAGATAGAGGAGGAACGTCCCAAGGGTCCCTGGCAGCGGGCTCACTGCTTGCTCATCTGACCCCGTAGCATGCCTGCTTGCCCTTCCCCAGCAGAGGATTTCTTGCTGTTCATTGAAATCTTCAGCCTTTCTCTTAGATCAGCCAGGAGGGGAGGGCGGTGGTGGAGCCGTGCGAGGTGGGACGTAACGTGCTGGTTTCATAGCATTTCTGCTGCTTTTGCAAACTTTCCTCCCTCCCTACCCATTGCCCAGTGGGACCAGTTGCCTTCTGTGCTCTCTGGTTGGTGGAAGTGGAGGCTCCCTGGGAGGCTGCGGCACCAGGAGCCTGGCTTAGCTGCTCTACGTCCTCCTCTGGAGGAGGTTTCTCTGAGCAGGAGCAGCTCAGGATGGGTAAAGTCAGCCTTAGTGAGCAGCGCCTTAAACCGCACATCCCGTGTGCCAGGTCTGTGAAATCTGTAAATGCCTGTCTTGTGCCGCAAGCTGCATGCAAGGAGCTAGCTGGGCTGGAAAGCGTACTCCTTCGCTCTAGGAGCGCGTGTGAGCATGCATGTGTGTGTGCGAGGCTCCGAGCTGGTGTAAAGCGGCAGCGGCCATGGGCGCTGAGAAGCGAGAGGTGGGAAGCTCCATCTTCGCTTCTCCAGGCAGCACCGAGTGCTGGTTTGCTCGGGCCGTGTTGTCAGGTGCTCACCGGCGCAGAGCTCGCTTGCTTTCCTGTTTTCTGAATCTCTCTTGCCTCTGTTCTCTCCTAGATGATATCAGTGGGACGCTGCCTACATCTGTCCTAGTGGGTCCAATGGGCTGCTCCCTGCAGTCTTTCCCTCTGCCTCCGCCTCCTCCACCCCATGCCCCAGGTCAGCTTAGCTTTAGCAGCAAGGCTCTGGCTTTCCCTTCAGCGATCTGGACTTTGGGGGTTTTCTCAGTAAACTTTAAGGCTGCTCTTTGGGCTTTAAGAGCAACGGTGCTGCCCGCGTTGCCCGCTCGGGGCTGCGCGGTCCTACGCTGCTGAGTGTTCAGGCACTGTTGTGTCGAGGCTCTGGTTTCCGTGTGGTGTGGCTCTTGTTGCCCACAGCAGTTTTGCTGAAGCTTGTGATTGCACCAGCTTTATCCTCAGTTCAGCACCTCCTGTTT